ATCACTAGCTGATTATAGTGGGGGACTTAGATATCCCCGGAATAGAATGGCAGTATGACGACGAGGGAGAGCAGCAAGCAGAACATGAATTCGTGAACTTCTTCCATGCGACATCGCTCTACCAGTACGTGAGAGAACCAACGCCTATCCGGCTATGGCAGAGACCGTCTACTACAGATCTGATCCTCACGCGGCAAGAGAGTGAGATCAGCTATCTAAGACAGAAGGTTCCTCTCGGTAAAAGCGATCACAATGTACTATTGCTAGAAACATGCATTGCAAAGGAAAAGCCACCCCACAGATAGTGCCGCAATTTCGGGCAAATGAACGTAGAGGCCTTGAAGCGAGTTGCCCGAGCCGGTGCATGGTTCCCGCAGGAAACAAGTGTCCGTTGATCAACGATCAAAGATAATCCGTGACCATCTATTAGAGCTGACGGACAGGCATGCCCCCTTGAAGCCTTGGGGTGATACACACAAACCGCAATGGTGAAAGCCGGTCATTAAACTCGTCATATAGGAAAGGGCTCGTAGGTAGAAGGCATTCGTTCTTATAGGAGAGTATGATCGATGGCTATCACATAAGAAAGCGAGAAACTATGCAAAGAAGCTGGTTAAACACGCAAAAATGACCTTTGAGGTGAACTTTGCCACCAGAAACCCAAGAGGTACTGTAACTGCGTGCAATCAAAGATTTCACTAAAAGAATCGGTAGGCACTTTGGAGAACCCCGGAGGTTGGCTGTTTGTCTCAGATTACCAAAAAGATGACACGTTCAGGAGGTATTTTGAAAACGTCCATAAAATAGACGACGGGCGTATGGTCCCACGAGAGTGTTTAAACACCCCTCCAATAAGCGATGTGTTAGTTTCAGCTAGTAATGCTCTTAAGGTCCTGGAGAACTTGGATGTAAACAAGTCTGCTGGCAGCGACGAGCTACACCCGGCCATCATCAGACCACCAGCTCCTGTGCTCGCCTCTGCAATAACCGCACTCTAACAGGAGTCCCCAAGAGCTGGTAGATTACCTCGTGATTAGATGACTGCCACAGTGGTAGCCATCCACAAGAGTGGAGCAATACGGGAACTACACACCCGTAAATTTGACCAGCGTGCTGTGCAAGGGTTTCGAAACCTTTGTGAGAAGTGCTCTCTGTGAGCACTTCACTCGATATAGGTTGATTAACCCTGCCCAGCACGGCTTTCTCAAAAAGGGGTCGTGTTTGAGAAACCTTCTTTTCTCCTTAGACGAAGCTACAAGGAGGTTAGATGGAGGTCAGGAAGTCGAAGTGTGTAACCTAGACTTCAGGAAGGCTTTTAGCTCGGTGAATCACCGGCTCCTACCAATAAAGCTCAGGAGCTTTGGTCTCCAAACAACTCTAATTAGATGGATAGAAGCTTTCCTCACCAACCAGACCTACGGAGTTCGAGTGGAAGATGCTCTGTCCAAGGTTGGCAGCGTATTCAGTAGAGTATCTCAGGGCTCAATGCTAGGCCCGATGCTCTTTCTGCTGGTTATAAATGACTTGGTCCATTATCTAGCGGTTCTTGTCTTCATCTTTGCCGACGACGTAAAAGTAGTAAACGCAGGACCTGTAGATCAACTGGACGCTCATCTTGCTAAGGTTGTCCAATGAACTCAGAATTGGGACCTTGAGCTAAACTGTGGCATTCAGAATAGGAAACAGGATGAAATCTCGACAGAGCATTGACTCGGCATGAACCAACGAATTGATTTCTGCCCTCTCAGTAGCTTGGAAATCAACAGGAATCACATGGGCAGAAGCAATTGTTTCAGCCTCGTAAAAGGTTAACTTGACCGGATTTTCAAGTAAAGCGACATTTTTGGCAAAGAATACACTTTTTTCCACCAAAAGGGCGAAATGGTATGGATTGCTCCTGCTTTCCGTTCTGCCGTAGGCTGCACAGAGCTCAAAACGTTCGACCTATTCTTCAATCTCAGATGGATGTGAGTGTAGATTGAGGGATTCGATAGTGTGCAACTCCATGGCGCGACGCCAATTGTAGTATTCAGAAGAGGAAGCGAAATCAAATCGCGCGAACTTGGAGTCGGACTGAAAACCCACTGAATAGTGCAAAGTCAGGTAGAACCAAGACGATCTGTGGATACAGTTAATTTTATTCAGAAAATCATGCCACTATACATCACAAACGACAAATTATCATTATCCGATTCTTCAATGTCCAATCGACAACGATATGGGTTCTTTGTTTGCCTTCTAGCATTCAGCCAATCCGGGTTGTGCCAATTGAGATCACAGGATTGGTCGGTTATTCTGTTTCTTGATTGGTTACCTGGAAGCTGTACCGCGGTGCACTCATTGCNATCGCCACATAAACTTTACCAGATGCCATGTTTTAAATACCCTTTGGGCTTTTGGTTTGAGTGGCTACGACCACGGAATGGACGGTCTTCGCTCAAGTAGACTGTATGCTGGATATGGGAATTTTGGTTCGCGAGGACCTTAAGCCCAGTGATCAATGCCTGGTCACCGCACAAAAAGCGAGGGGTAATTTTTCCAGCTTAAGGCGGCTCTATGGTCGAGGAAGGCTGAGGTTTTCGTACCTCTGAATAAGGTCATAGTTAGACCGCAGTTAGAATACTACGTACAGGCTTGGGCGCCTTAGTTGAGGAAAGATGTCAATTGCATTGCGTGGGTGCAACGGTTAGCCATTAGGATGATCGTGGGTATGAGGGGTAAATCATATGAGGAGATGTTAGAATTCCTAGGGCTTTTCTCTATGTTGAGGAGACGCCTGAGAGGTGACATCATTGAAACCTCCAAAATAATGAAGGGCTGACTGGGCTAGAGGCAGACAGCCTGTTTATCCGAGCACCGCTCGAGTCAACAAGGGGGCATCATTTGAAGCTAATGAAGCCCAGGTGCCGACTAAACCTAACGCACAACTTCTTCACAATAAATGAATGGAAACAACTACCATCTTCACTGCTGGACTGTAGGATAGTCGATGAGTTCAAAAGGCAACTAGATTGGGTCTGGATCAGCCTCTATCCAGAGATTTTGTAGGGTGTCTACTATTGACAGTAGATGTTCCGTGCTGCCTATTTTCGGATCACTTCCCTTTGCAGATACGGACCCGATAAGGCAGGCTATTCCGGACTAATAAATTGGCTATGGTCAAACGGTCGAAGCTCCGGAAGACCGTGGTTTCCACTGGAGAAATAATCTGGACACTCGGTTGGTGAAAGCCTTTACCGTCCTGTGCAACCAGACCCGACCTTACCTGACCTGGTCTTATGAAAAGCAGGTCTTCAACACCTTGCCCAACTTGTCTCATCCTGGCATTCGCGCTTCGGTTAAGTTAGTCTCTTAGAGCTTCGTCTGGCCCAAAATGAACCCGACGTATCACACTGGACCCACACTTACTCAAAGTGCTAAAGGAGTAAGGTCCATCGACACACGCGGACTCCACTAGGGGATTTTGCCTCTCGGACTGCATGTTTCCAAAATATACACATTGACTTGGTTGGCCCTATGCCACCATCTGAAGGTTCCACATACCTCTTGATATGCGTCAATCGGTTTTCGCGTCGGTCTGAAGCCATTCCCCTTCCAAACTGGACCGCCGAATCCACCTCTAAAGCCTTTTTCGAGCTTTGGGTCGCTACTTACGGATACCCCGTAACCGTGACTACCGATAGGGGTTCTCATTTCGAGGGAGCATTTAAGTCCCTTCTCAATAAATTAGGTAGTACTCACGCCCGGACAACCGCCTACCATCCTGCAGATAACGAGTTGGTAGAATGATTCTATCGTGAGCCCTTAAAGCACACTCCGGTTCTGATTGGCATTAGGCCGTTACGCTTGTTCCTTTGGGCATTCAGAAGATGACAAAGGCCGACTTGCACACCACACCGACCGCTTTAGCTTTCTCACACCTTTCCTAAACCATTCCGAGGAACTTGTCACGCCGATGCACTTGCGGAACTTCAACCAGGCTGACTTCGATCAACGGCTTGGCCATCACATGCGTGAGGTCCACGCTGCTGCCATGCGGCAGTAGAACGTCCCCGTTTACGCTCCAAAACACGTTCATGTTGCACTCGCGTTTTTCTTCGCGTTGATAGCACACGAACGTCATCGCAAGCCATATACATCGGTCCGCATAGGGTGATAGCACGTAAGGATAAAAGCACCATCATCGAGATTAGTGGTAGGCGGGAGACGGTCAGTTTAGACCGCTTAAAACCGCTTTCATCGACAATGGCGCTTAGCGCAATCCCACAGACCAACCCAGTGAACCAGCACCTCCTCTTCCTCCGGGTCCACCTCCCCAGAACCCAAACGCGATCGCATTTGACCAGTATAAAAGCTTCATTAGGGGGATCATTCGGGTTCTGCGGAGGTGGACCCGGACTAGGAGGAAGCGCTGGATCGCTGGGTTGGGCTGTGGGATAGCGCTTAGTGCTGTTGTCGATGAAAGCGGTTTTAGACGATCTAAACTAAGCAATTGATTGAATTCCGGTTGGTGAACGGTCACAGTGTCCCCGGGACTTACAGGGAGGTCCGTTACCAACACATAGGGGGCTTGGTGCGCAGTGTGAATCGGTTGCCTAACTGCTACTGGACATCCACTTCGTCAACTTGAACCATCCCATGAGCAGTAGCTCAGATAAGTCACTAATGTGTCGAACTGCCTCGTCAATATTTTTAAAGGACCCCACGTAAAAAATACGCTTCATACAGGAGTCAACCTGGAGGTCAAAAAAATTGGTAAATTGATTCATAGTATTCTTCAGAGCGATATTTGCAGAGAA